TGAACGAGGACGGCTCGACCGATGTTTCTCGTTATCTGAAAGCCGCCTTCTAGAACCAGGATTGACTGGTCTGTTTCATGCTGATTCTTATTCTCGACTACTGTTTCTCTCATATGTGATACCTGACCTTCTTGCACTGCATGGTATTGTTTCCAGCGATACTGATACCTTACTGCTCACTGTTTAGCAGTTATTGCGAACCCCGTTTTTCTGCCCAGGTAAACTGCTGTGTTGGATACTATTTCTTGGCCTAGCCATCCGTTATCAGTCGTTTCACTTTCACGTCATTACTCTCTATATTCCTTTCAAACCGTTCGTTCTATCTCCAGGATGAGTTTGACGGAGGAGTTTGAGTCTGAGGAGATACTAGCTCTCCTAGGATATTCCGCTTCATACGGTTCGTCAACATTACCAGGAGCCAGCTGTTCGACTCTGCGCTTCGGGCCTGGAAACACCCAGCAATAGTTCTCACCCTTTCTTTGAATGACCTGCGAGATATTGCGGATGAATTTAACAGAGACGAAGGGTCCTTCCGGCCTAATGGATAACTATAGCATCTCCATGGCATCGACGAATTCTGGAACGATGGTTGCAAACAATCTACCTGAATTCCAGAAATTCCTGGATATGGCTGGAAGTCGAACACCAGTCAAATCTGTTCAGAGGAGTGATAATAGGCACCCAACGTCGCTTGCGGCAGTAAGAGTCCTTCAGAGATGTCCAAGCGAGTGGTGGGATACACCTCGGTTATGAGGGTCAGTCACCTCTGCCACTGATTTCGAGATGGCCAAGAAGAGAATATCGGAAACATTGCCTGGGTCTTTAGATAATCTTTCTGATTGGATGTGTCAGATACTGGATAAGCAGCGGAGACTTATCAGAAACTTGCCGACCCTGGATGCATATAACGGCATTGGAAGTGTATCCGATGAGTCGGATTGGCGAAATGTCCCTCTTGGGCCGTCCGCACAGTTTTCCCCTAGTTATATTCATGGACTAGGCTTCATCTAGATGTCATGACGTCTGACTTTGGTCCATTTGCAGAAGACGTTGAACTTGCCCGGTTGGATATGAGCGGTCACTCTGGATATCTACTTATCTGCCACTGTTCACCGCCCTGGATCATAATCGCTTTTATCTAGCATCTAGCTGCCCCTCCAAATAAATAATAGAAGAACAACAACTTCTTCTTCCCTAGAACATTCCGTGTGACTTGTCTTAGCATACTCATACTCATATTCATCTTGCTCAGAACCCGCGGGATCTGCTCTTATAATTCTCCGTAGTATGCAAGCAGTAATTAATTAATATCATTAATAATTGCTGTAGACATTCTGAGCACGTTGCCCAGTGGTGCCACCACCATGATTGATCGGGAAGTGAGATGGAGAGGCAAGCCGAGAGTTCGGCCGACTGGGTCGGATTTTCGATGTTGTTTCGTTGGGCGGAAAAGATGATCAGAGGCTAACAGGGCTAAAATGGGCTAATCAGCCAAAAAACTCTCCGCAAGATCGACTTCATTATTAATCATTCGGAGTTATTAATCATTTCAGAAGAGGCCAACAGCTGCACAATCCAACCACGGGTTCGGTCACTTTTCACAGCATCCTATTGATTGCCCGGCGTTTCACAGGAGAAGGGAAAGGAAGAAAAGGAAACATTTGAGACGGCGTAATCTTAATCGGGGGCAGTTGTTGCCATTGTCGCCGCCGACGTGACGATATTGATATGATGGAGGGGCTTCTAAGCAGTCCAACTCTCCGTGTATTAGTATTAGTTAGTTATTATGATTATTATTATAAGTAGAGTATGTATTAGAATTAGTATTATTATGATTGCTATTATTATTATTCCAAGCTACGATGCTTCTTCCGGCATTATTCTTCTTATTTCAAAGCAGAGTGGAGCAACATTTGTCTGCGATTTGTCCTTCGATCGGCTTCTCCGCGGTGACATTTCTCTTGCTTGAAGTTATTTAAAGCTGGTCGATCTCCCCGGGGTACGCTCCATTCATATTGGGGTATAGATATTATTATTACTACCATACTCAACCTTTATTAACATCCTCTCCTCCTCCTCTCTGTTATCTCTCTCTCCCTGATCAACCACAACCAACAACCATGTCGGCCCGCGCTCAGGTTCCCGATATCATCAACAAGCCCGCTCCCGGCGTTTCCTACTTCACTCCTGCCCAGGAACCTCCAGCTGGAACAGCTGCTGACCCCCAGTCCGATGGCACCAAGCCTCCCAAGCTCTTCACGCCTCTCAAGCTGAGAGGTCTCACTCTGCACAACCGCATTGGGGTACGTTGGTAGTTGTGCTATTCGTCGTTATCGTTATCATCGCAAGATGAACCCAAGATGAACCCAAGAACTGACCGTGATCTTCTTCCTCTTCAGCTGTCTCCCCTCTGCCAGTACTCCGCCCAGGATGGCCACATGACTGACTGGCATCTCGCCCATCTGGGAGGCATCGCCCAGCGCGGTCCTGGTCTCCTGATGATCGAGGCCACCTCCGTTGTTCCCGAAGGACGCATTACCCCCCACGACGTCGGATTGTGGAAGGATTCGCAGATTGAGCCGATGCGCCGGGTGATTGAGTTTATCCACAGCCAGAACCAGATCGTCGGTGTTCAGATCGCCCACGCTGGTCGCAAGGCTAGCACCGTTGCTCCCTGGTTGTCCATGGGACCTGGCCACCGAGAAGGCTGGCGGCTGGCCCGACAACGTCAAGGGTCCCAGCGACATCCCCTTCACCGACCGTTTCCCTCTGCCCAAGGCCATGACCAAGCAGGACATTGAGGAGCTCAAGACCGCCTGGGGGCTGCCGTCAAGCGTGCCGTCAAGGCGGGCGCTGACCTTTGTTGAGTCCACAACGCCCACGGATACCTGCTGAACTCCTTCCTCTCTCCGCAGTCCAACACCGGACCGACGAGTACGGTGGCAGCTTCGAGAACCGCATTCGTCTGACCCTCGAGATCGCCGAGATCACCCGCAAGGCTGTTCCGAGGACATGCCCGTTTTCTTCTGGCGTGTCACTGCCACCGAGTGGCTGGAGGAGGTCAAGCCCGACGAGCCCAGCTGGCCGCGTCGAGGACACCGTCAAGCTGGCTCAGATCCTCGCCGACAAGGGCCTGGTCGACTTGATCGACATCAGCTCTGGTGGAAACAACATTCAGCAGAAGATCAAGGGCGGTCCTGGATTCCAGGCTCCCTTCTCAGTCGCCGTCAAGAAGGCGGTCGGCGACAAGGTTGCGGTCAGCGCCGTTGGCAGCATCAACGACGGCAAGCTGGCCAACAAGCTGCTCGAGGAGACGGTCTTGACTTCATCTTCATTGGCCGTGGCTTCCAGAAGAACCCCGGTCTGGTTTGGACCTTTGCTGAGGACCTCGACACTGAGATCTCGATGGCCAACCAGATCCGCTGGGGTTTCACCAGCCGTGCCGGTCCAGTCTTCTTGAAGAAGCGCAGCCAGCAGAAGCACTAAATCTTACACAAAACGATGTAACTAGAATCTCGCGTATGAGGACTCCCAGACATGATTGATGGTTTTGTTATGGTCTCTCCCCCTTCCTCTAGAGATACTATCATATAGAGCTTATGAATGAAAATATTACGGATGTTAATCTTTATTCTTCTCCTGTTCAAATAGATGATATATGAATCACTTACATGTTGATCGCAGTCATCCACCATAGGGAAGTAGTCAAAAAAACCCCCCAATCCCGATAAAGTGTCACGTAGTTAAGTAGTGTCAAAGCGAATCGAATGATTTTCTACCACTAAACCACCACAGATCTACCCGTGCAATAAGTACATAGACCATATCCATATTCGTAACTAGTGTAAATAGACCGACCACACGGGGCATCCGATCGCGTGAACCCCAGATATGCTTTCTCGGAGAGCCCTCGGCGCAACGTGTGAATTTTGAAAAAGCCGTCGGACACGGAACCAGATAAGATCTCCGGCGTCCGAAGTTGACATCAAGCCGTTTCAGAATAATGAGAATCCAATCGTCGTCAAAGGAGTGTCGATTACGAAAACAATTGTCGACTTGACTAGGCATCAGACAGAAAGAATCCTTCTGCCTTGATTGTCTTCTGGGGTAGGTATTTTTTTGAGAAAAAGATCGAGGTAGTTCAACATCCTCGGGAGAAGCAATTGAACCGACTCCGTTTATTTCGAGGATTGGATTAGCCCGCTCCTCGCGCTGGTTACCTGATCTGGGTTGACTTGAGGACTGGCCATTAGTTATAAAGAATCGACAGATTTCCAGCTCACCGTCGGGACTCGGACGTCGAGTTTGCAATCCCAGATCGATCTCGGAGATCGATCGTGATATGGATCGTGGATTATTTCGGTGACTAGTTATCGATCTGCAGCTGTTGTGCAATTAGGTACTTACATCCGATCCCTTCTGCAACCAACCGAGGTGTCTAAGTACCTTGACATTTTCTCCGAAGAACGAAACAGCTCCAAGAACTCCAGTGTCTATCCATCAATCTCGTCGTGGATTACTTTCACTGGCCCCGAACGACACCGCATTTTGTTACTTTTTCTCCTTAACAAGTTAAGGAGCGAGAGCAATCTTGCATAAGATCCAGCAGGCTACTGGTGTCGGAGATCTCGCGTTTGGACGGGGTGGATCTTCAACATACTTAGTCCCTAACCAAGCCAAGCGTCGATGAAGCTTTGGATGTTTGAAGATTCATCATTATTATCATCTCGCCAAGTCCAACTCTTCATGGACAGTTGATATAATCTCGTCCTTTACCAACGAAACATCTCCCTGGAACGCATCGACGGCCAAGACCGCTCTTCTCGACGCAACAATTGACGAACTCGAAAAGTGCATTATCAGTCAGCTGCTAATTACTGGCTGAACCTACTTGGTCTTTCGTGTATTCGTGTCTTGCGAATTACTTCTACCAAACTTACTCGCCATTATTCCTTTTTGATCTCATCGTCTCTTTAAAACATCCTTTTACCCTAACTACAATGGGTCTCTCTAATCCGATTTGGGCAATCTTGTCCTTCAGTCTCGGTATTCTTCTCGTGCAACATAAACCAGAGTACTCCGTGCGAGAATCCTATTTCCTAACGGCCCTATCGATCTTCTTCACAACACTCGTCGGGAGAATTGTCTATACTACAATCCTATATCCGGAATTCTTTACGCCGCTAAGACATATCCAGACTCCGAAGGCAAGTATACACACATACATACAATTAATCATTCATTTTGACCTTCTCGAAAAGGTCGGAACGATCATTGCTAACCTCTTTATAACTATATACAGGGAAGATCATGGCTCAAAGGCAATACGCAATCATTATTCATCGAGTCTCCCGGATCGCGCTGTCTCCGATGGATGGAGGAGATGCCTGATGCGGAACTTATCCGCTACTATCTAGTAGGAAATATGGAAAGAGTGCTTGTAGTGAGCCCTAAAGCTCTAAGCGAGGTTCTTACTCTGAAGTCATACGACTTTCGTAAGCCTGATCTGGCACGGATCTCTCTGGAGCGTATCACTGGTAATGGCGTTCTGCTCGCTGAAGGGGACGAGCATAAGGTTGGTTCGAACATCCTGTATTATCCTGTTTTGGGGACCTTTTCATCCATCTCGCTAACTAATTCATTCCGCAGAGACAACGAAAGAATCTCATGCCTGCTTTCTCTTATCGTCATGTTAAGAATCTCTACCCAGTCTTCTGGGCCAAAGCAGTCGAGATGGTCCAGATGATTGGCGATGAGCTTCGCAGCAAACCAAACTCTCAAGAAGAAGAAGATGATGATGATAAAACAATCATAGTCGGCGACTGGGCCAGTAGAGCCACTCTCGACGCCATCAGCATCGCCAGCATGGGCCGCGACTTCGACACGCTCCGCGATCCAGATAACGAACTCAACAACCACTACCCGCCGCTTACTGATGGAGCCGTCCGTGAAAATGAGAATCCTCTTCCTGGTAGCGATGTTCCTCGTCGATTTGGGATTCTTCCAGAAGATCCCCATAAAGCGAAACCGTGACGTTCGCGCAGCATCAAGCTACATCCGAACCGTTGCCCGACAACTAGTTCGCGAGAAGAAAGAACGGCTTGAAAAGAAGACACAAGATGCCAATGGCAATGCCAATACCAACGACGCAGTGACAGCCGCCAGCGACGAAATCGACATCATGTCCGTCGCCCTAACCAGCGGCGGCTTTTCAGAAGAGAATCTAGTAGATCAAATGATGACTTTCCTCGCAGCAGGGCACGAAACCACCGCTTCTGCCTTCCAATGGGTCATCTACGCCCTGTGCAAACATCCAGGAATCCAATCTCGTCTTCGTGACGAAATCCGCGCAAATCTCCCATCCCCATCACATACATCCAATACCATCTCCGCCTCAATCATCGATTCCCTTCCCTACCTCAACGCCGTCTGCAATGAGACTCTCCGCTTCTACCCCTCTGTACCTCTCACCATCCGAGAAGCAGCCCGCGACACCACCGTTGTCGGCCACCATATCCCGAAAGGATCCCTCCTTGTTTTAGCCCCCGAAGCCACGAACCGGAGTAAGGAACTCTGGGGCCCCGACGCGGATGTATTTGATCCGGAACGATGGATGGGTCCAGGACGAGCGAATACCGGTGGTGCGGATACGAATTATGCGTTTTTGAGTTTCCTGCATGGTCCGAGAGGGTGTATTGGTCAGGGGTTTGCGAAGGGGGAGTTGGCGTGCATGGTGGCTGTTACGGTGGGGAGGTTTCAGATGGAATTGAAGAATCCAGATGCGGAGTTGAAGATGAGGAGAGGTGTTACTGTGTCGCCTATTGATGGTGTAGAGGCGAGGTTTAGGGTTGTTGAGGGTTGGTAGTAGGTTTCGTTCTTTAAATGCCGGAGATTTCTTTTTTTTTTTTTTTTTTTTTTTTACGTTTTTATTCCACTATAATGATAAACCTGACCTGTTTGATTATTGCGGTATATATATATATATATATATTGTTCCTTTTCCACCAACTCGATTCTATTGATCTGTCCAGTGTCAAGTTTCTTGCACGTATAGCAAAGGTCTAGCATTTCCAAGAGCAACGGGCGCTTATACACCCACGTAAATAACTAACTACAGAACCAGCTTAAATAAACGTGAAGCAAAGAGTGAACAATCTAATAATACTCCTCTCTAAACACCATAACCCTCTCCTTTTCTCCATCTGCATCTTCTTCGATCCAGGCCCGAAACATCCCCCCACAATTGAAATCGAAAACGACATTTCCTCTCTTTAGCTTATCACCAGGATTCTCTGGGGAGTGAGATGAAATTTCGATCCCGATGATCCCACCTTGTCCCTCACTCGTCTTTTCCCATCGTCTACCTGCGGAGCGCTGCAGTTCACCGCCTTGTCCGGCGATGGCGGTGACTGCCTCAGCGAGCGTGCTCGGGAAAGATCCTGCAGGAGAGAATCGGAGCATCGAGGACGCAGTACGGGCCGCGGCGACGCGTAAGAAAGAGTCGCCGTTGCCAGTTCCTGAGAGGGCGACGGCACGACGGGTGGTAAGAGGTTTGGTATATCTCGGTTGTTGATGGCTCAGAAGGGGTTGCTTTTCAGGGGAACGAGGACGATGTGATCCTGAGTCTTGGTCTGCGGGGACATCCCGGCTTGAAGACAGATAACGAAGGTAAGAGGTAAGACAATCTCCCAGGCACGATTTCAGATAGCGAGTAAAGTCCCAAGTGGTGAGATGTGCGGACTGGTCTGATTCTGCATGTGTTGCCGTTGAACTTGATGTCCCATATACCATCGTCCCAGTCTCACTTTCAGCAGTTACTTTAACATCCCACGCCTCAGCCCAGAATCCCGCTCCGAACGTCGGTGTATCACCAACTCTCCCGGGCTTCTTGTTCGTCAAACCCCCCGTACTCGTAGCAACGGCCAGATTGCCCCATTGGTCCAAACAGACGCATCCCACAGTCCCCTGACTCATTGTAATATCTTCCTTAATCCCCTTCAGGCCTCTCATATGCTCATCCCATCGCTTCTGGGTCCAGAACCACTCGTCAGGCGCAAATTCTAGACCCCATTCGTCAGCCAGCTTCTCGACTTCGAGCCCACTGAGCTGCGAGTGCATATTTCCTCCGTCACCGTTCGGTTCGCCGTTGGAATCGTAACCCGTTCGCAGAAGCGCTTCCCGCGCAAGTTGGATCGGATGCCGTACGCTCCTCACGTTGATAACGCCCGCGCCGCGTTTTATCGTTCCCGGTTCGCTGCTATTCTCCCAGCCCTCTTGAATGGATGTCACCATGACGGAGGCTTCCATCTCGATAGTGCCAGCGGAGGTAAAGACGCTGCCCCGACCGCAGTTGAACAGCTCGTCGTCTTCCATCAGCGAGACAGCATGTACTGCTGCGTCGAGGGCGGTTGCGCCATTCTTGAGCAGTGTGTACGTCGAGCGGAGGTAGGCAAGGAGAGACGCATGGAATTGGTCATAGAGAGGAGGTGGAAGAGTCGAACGATGGATGTCACCCGCGCCGCCGTGGAGGATGAGTGTCGGTTTGAACGTCGGAGGAAGAGTTGCGGACATAGTTGATATGCTATCGGAGGTATCTGCGGGCTGAAGTGGCCTAGTGATAGAAAGCTGGTTGTTCTTTGATGGTTAGCTATCTGGCATCTGAATCCATTCTTTGCAAAATAATAATCGCACACTTCATATGGTGAGGAAAGCTGTAGATCTGCGAGGTGACTTGGAACTATCCATGCGGGAGTACCTGTCACTTGGGGCTTTTCCTGTTACGGAAAGTCACACGTCGTCCCCCGGTCACCCTCGGACTAATCGGGGAAATACCTGGGAGATCTAAAAAAACGAATCGCGCAGTAAAGCAGGCTGTGTATTAAATATCACATTCATTCGGACGTTAATGTACAGGGTCGAACACAATGGCTTGGACAGACTGTCCTAGAAACACGGCCGGAATGGCCTTTTTGTGAACCCGCAATCCCCGACGTAGAAATGCAGAACGCCAAGGGGATGGAACTAATAACCCAGGCGCGAAATAGATTGCTGAGATATTTTCGAGCAGGAACGGAAAGGTAGCGAAATATAAATGGAACCTCTATGTCATGCCGCAGAAAATGAGAACCCGGACCCAACACCAGAGGAGGAGAGATGGTTTTATGAAGAGAGCGGTTAAACTCTTGTCGAAAGATATTGTAGGGTGACTCGTGTATGTTTATGCGACGGCCTTCTCGCCAGCGGGAGGAGGTGGGGGTAGCTGCAACACCATGTGAGTAATAGGTTATCTCGGTGAGGAGCAAGGCTACTTACATCCAACCTCGTGTTCTCAGCCATCATTCTCTGGAATCCAATACCAACACCTTCAATGACACCCAAGAAGATGGCGCACATGATAGCGGAGTTTCTGGCAGCTTTCATACCACCTCGAATGGCCAGCGCACCACCTGTGAAGAAACCGGCAATGACTAGGAAACGACGTCAGACCTTCACTCCAAGCGCATATTGGGTGGACGATAAGGGTCCATAAACATACTGGCATTGTACGGGTCCTCCTTCTTTCTGATTCCCTTGATCGCGCAGTCGAACGTCGAGAACATACCACCCCAGACACCAAAGTTTCCGCCCAGCACCGGGGCACGAGCCTTAATCGCGGTGATCGCACCTATCCGTCGTTCACCGTACGGGCTGTTTCGGAATCCTTTAACACCGTGCCAGACAGCGCCTCCAATAGCCTAAAGCAAGAAAATAACCCATCAGCGCTCAATGTTCGGAGCTGAAGGAAAATACGACCGGCGGGTTCGACGGAGCTGGATGATACATACACCCATACAGAAAGCACCACCAAAGTCACTCAGGGCAACCCAGGGGCAAGGATCTCTCGAGTGATCCATGACGGTATCTATAAAAGAGTAAAGGGATAGGTCGAGGGAATGGACCGGCGAAGAACGGTGGCCTTAGGAGTCGAGATCGCGAGATGCGCGCGCGGCCAAATAAAATAAAAAGGTTGAAAAAACAGGGCCTATCACCCGCACCCTAGTGTACAGTGTTTAAAGTATTAACCGTCTCTGTTAAATGAGACTGGATGGGAGAAGAAAGAAAGGGCCGACGATCGAAAAGCAACAAGATAGACAAAAGCCGGAACTTGGCTTTTTTCTCCAGGTAAACGTGACCGGCTCGAGGGAATGTCACGTGCATCACCACCACCGCCTTCCCAATATGACCGTGGCGTCATCAAAGGTCCATCAGGGTCATAACTATTCACTATTATTATTGTGTGAGTATTTCTATTGTTACAAGTCAGAACTGTTCTTGACAGATGAAGTAGATGCGTGCATGGTGACCTGCTGGATAAACATCTTGTCGACCTTTCCCCTACTGTGTTAGTCATCTGACGACCGTCACCGGACGACCACCTGGGCCCCAGAGAAAAAGAGCAAAGGGAAACCGGAGAACGCAACCACCAAGGAGAGAGGGGAAAAGAAAAGGTGAAGGGAGAGAGACGAGAAAGACGAAAAGGGAATAGGAAGGAAAGGGGGGGAGGAAAGATAGGAGGGAGAAGACGAGAGGAGGGAAAAGAGGAAAGGGGCGAAAAGGGGAACGGAATGAGAAGGGAAGGAGGGCGGAAGAGGGGAGGAGAAAAGGAAGGAGAGAGAGCGGGAGACGAGAAAGGGGAGAGAAAAGAGAGAAAACGCGAGAAAGAAGGAGGAGGGAGGAGAAGAAGAAGAGAGAAAGGGGGGAAAAAGAGAAAGGTGGGGGAACGGAACGGGAAGAAGAAGCGCGAGAAAGGGGAGGGGAAAGCGGGAAGGAGGGAGGAGGAGGAGAGAGGGGAAGAAGGGGAAAAAGAAGCGAAGAAAAAGCGAAGATAGAGGAGGGAAGAGAGCGGAGGGGGAAAGCGAAAAAGAGAGCAAGTGAGGATGGAGAAAGAACGAAGAGAGAGGGACGAGGGCGGGAGAGGATCGGAGGAGAGAGAGAAAGAAGAGAGAAAACGGAAAAAACGGGTAAAGAGGCGAGGGAAAGCGAGGGTAGAGGAAAAAAGAGAAGAGGGGAAAAAGAAAGGGGAGAGGCGGGCAGAGAGGGGAGAGAAGGGGGGAAAGGAGGGGCGAGAGATAGATAGGAAAAGAATAGAGAGAGGAAGGGGAGTAGGAGGAAGAGGAGGACGAAAGAAGAAAAAGAAGAAGGGGATACGAAAATAAAACCGTGAAAAAAGGAGAAGAAAGGCGAAAAACGGAGAAGGGGGGGAGGGCCGGAACGAGAAATAATAAGTAAGATAGAAAAGCTTTAAATAAAGAGTTATATATATACGAATAAAGTAAGGAAAAAATTAGATTTAAAACTGCTTTTTTATTATTATATTATATTACTATTATTTTCTAAAGTTTTATATATTTTATATAACTTTATAGTATGAAAAATATATATAATAAATTTTATAATAAAATATTAAAGAATAAATAAATAATATTAAGTTAAAATTTTAGAAAATTTACTAACTTTAACTACTTATAGTACTATATATATTAATAAATTTCATAAAAAAAATAGATTAATTAAAAATTTATTATTTATAATATTTATATATTAAATTTTATTTCAAAATATTTAATTGTTGTTGAGTTATAAAGGTTTAGATTTGCTAATTTTCTATGGGGGAAAAGCGGTCGTCAGGTGGGAACGGTCGGCAGCTGGTCAAAGACTGTAGGTCCGTCAGAGGTTCAGGATATACATTTACTTCGGTGCGATAGAATTCGACAGTTATATATGAGGAGGGAAAAATAAAAATAAATTATTATATATACCTATATAAGAGGACGTCAGGGTGGTACTTTCTCTCAAAGTCGAACACGTAATATTTATCTAGACGTCTTCCCCAAAGCTCTCTATCAACTACCGGGATAGGAGCCG